GTGTGTGTGTGTATATATGTGAGAGCCTATACAGTGTCTGTTTAGGTAGCCTGCCTAGAATAGCTTTGCTAACTGCGGGCTACAAAAGCCTTTATTTCTCTAATTTTAAAAAAAATAAAGTTAATGTTGTTGTTAAATAATCCCCTCGACTTCATCTCGAGATTATTCGACGATATTCACCTCGCCTTCGGCGGATAATTGTTAAATATAAATTCTGTATACGAGGGAAAACCTGACCCTGTACACCCGAAATAATCTTACTAAAATAGAATAAATGTTTGAAAAGGAAATTTACCCTGAGCGGGATTTGAACCTACGTCCCCCTGTTACTAGTCAGGTGTAATGACCACTACACTATCAGGACAACCATGCTGGCAGTACGGCAATCGAAGATGTGATTTACGTGATCTAACTAAAACTGGGGAATATCCCATAATTTTCCACCATTACGCCATCCAAACGATAAAAACGTTCATTTAGAATTTAATTCAAGATGAAAGAGCATTTTAGTTTTTGTTACAGAAGGAGGGGCGGGGTTTTTTGCTCATAAAGTCGTACCAGAGAGCAATGAAAAATCCCCATCCAACGCAGCAAACAGTTAACTGTTCATGAGCATGCTATTTTCCCGCGCGTTGCAAAATTATCTCAAGGATAATAAACACAATAGACTCCACCTCACGCGAAAGCATGCCTGTATATTTGTCCTTGAACATTACATTTTCCTCGAAGCTCACATTCACCTCTTGCATTTTAGAACAGATAACGCCCGTAGACAAATATCTATGCCTATGTTTGTGTCAATTGGAGGCCATCGTTTATATGCAGGGGTATAGTGCAGATTTCTGTACTAACGAACCCATCTCGAAAGTTCAAGGTTAGGTGCAATGTATTAAGAGTATGCTCCCATTACACCGGCTCAAATTTGATGGTGGGATAGGGGAATTGATGTACTAAGTGAAATCTAACAATTTAGGTAAACCATGCCAAATATCAAAAACATTATCCCTGTATCTCCACCAGGACATGGGCTTTACAATGCCTCCAGACTTAGCTTTCCTATCAAACGATCTCATAGCTACTTCAGGATAACTACACGCGTTTTTTTGGTGTAAGTATAAAATGATATAAAAAGATGAGTTTCACCATTTACAGTATTCCTGCACCGATTACAATATTTTCGTGGGCGAGTTTCCCGGAGGTGAGTAGCTAATCAGAGTGCGCTTTTAACGTTTTCTATTTTTTAAGAATATGCCATATGTATATAAGAGAAAAAATATTCACATACACATGCCATATCCACGTGAACGTTTCATTACTTACTTTCTATACTGGGATCACACGTTTCCATCTTGACGATTGGAAGAATCCATAGAATGCCAGTAAAAGTTAATAGTACTGTACACCTTGTCTTTTCTCGATGCCAAAAGCTACCCATCATCCTGACACGTTGACAAGTTTGTATTTTGATACCTGTAGACTGGATTGTTTATTGAGAATAAGTTCTTTCGCGTCAGGTCGATCTGAGAGTATTATTACCTTATTCTACCTACATGTATAAGTCACCCAGGTAGTTAAGGAAAGGAAAATTGAAAAGATGATTAAACGACAAATTTTGCATTTTGTACACAACTGGAAAAAATATATTGAGCGCACGCGAGAAACCAAAGGCGTTTGGTTGTAGTCGTAATGCAAACAACTGTCGTATTGTAAAGAAAGTTTTCAGGACGAAAAAGATTCGCTTTACAGTAAAATACTGTACAACCAAAGGAAAATAATGGGACAAGTGAACTTTTGTATTGATAATATCGTCAAGAAAACGCTTTAGTATTTTATGGCTGCTATGTTACCAAGTACCAATTAATTACGACTTTACGCCTTTCCTGAGTTTAATTATCATAGTGATGTTTTTTTGTCGAGTCTCGAAGCTCGCGTTTCCTGAACCGGTGTTTCAGCTTTTTAGGCCTATATAATTTTGTTCCTTCTGTGGCTTTGCTCCAAACTTCCAAGACAGGAAATCACCATAGGTGAATCTGAAGAATCAAAATTATGTGGGTGATCGCAGTTGCCTCAATTGGCCTTGGCTTCTAATAGACGGAAAGTAAAGACAACCGCAGCCGTTTGAAAAAAATTCATTTACCATTGGTGACAACAGTCTTATGCGAGGGTCTCAGCCTTGACTATTACACCATAAAATACTGCTTAGTCCAAAAGCAGTTCCTTGATTCAGGCAGAAATTAAATATTTTTTGCAAGTCTTAAAATCTCAGATTTAACAGGACTGAATACATCGAAACACGGTTTGCTTGAAACCTCGATCTGAATACTATTCATCGGGCAAAGTTTTGAAACTTAGCAAGAGGCTCAAGTCACGATATAGATGATGTTCGTTGATGATTCACCGCATGTATATTCACTTGGAAACAAATACAACCTGATTAATTTAATGAGCTCCTAGTCCGCTAAAGAAACATGAAAAAGATTCAATTGTCAAGGACTGGATATAGGACAAAGTTTAATCATGTCTGTCAGACGTGAAAAAACCCACCAGCAATTTAAATTTAAGATTCCGTAGTCCACCAATTTAGATCAAAAGAAAGTCGCGATTCAAACCAGATGCGAGAATCATTGAAAGTTTAAATCGTTGTTTGAGTTGTGTCGTCTGTGAATGGTCTTATCTGACGACGGCGGTAAACTTCAGAGTAGTCACATGTTTGTTTTTCTTAGAGGCCAAAAACTTGAATTGACCTCTCTAGTTTCCCGTCATGTGTGAGCTTCCGTTTAGCGACCAATATAAAACACATTAGGAGTTGAAATGGCCATTTTTTTTTTTCACACAGTGAAAAACTATTTTAAAAATAGTTCGTCGTTCGCGAAAAAACCCATTTATTTTCTTGGAAATAGACCACCAGCTTGCTATATTTTCCACTTTCTTTTTTTTTTTTTCTTTTTTCAAAGTGTGCATAATGGTGACACAAAAATGACATTTCGAATTCAGTGGATAGATATGATAATCTTCAGAATAACATATTTCATACTTTTCTAGCCGTGAACAAATTATTGTGGAAAAAATCCTGGTCTTGTCTTGTAGTGTTATTTGTCGCAAAAACTAGAAATCATTCAAATGCAAGCGATCAAAACTTCGCTAATAATAAGCTGGCGGAGAACAAAACAGGAATGATCATATTTCAGTTTGTGCTTAAATTCAAACAGCTGGTACACTTCCCTTGAAGAAGAAACTTAACAGCCCAAAGCTAAGGTCGTCGTGTAATTTGAATTAACCATTTTCCGTATACTTTTAATGACCTTGTGAGAAAGATTCAAATCCATGGAGGTTTTAGCCCTATTTAAGACTTAATAATGGAGATTAAGAAAACCATTACAAAGTCAAATTAGCGAAAGTTCGAGTCGTCGGGATATAATTATACTTTTCAAGTAAACAAGAAAACAATTTAGCTAACGCTCGTCCACCAAAAATATACCGGCTATGATCACACTCCATTACGCATCACAAATAAGCCATAACTTCACAACGAACATACTATTGTATCAAAAAATATTGTTGATCAAAAACTGCTCCGCAAACCCTCTTAAAAAATTGCTCTTTTTCATACAAGTCTTTGTTTTCGAAAGCAACATTTTCATTATTTTGAAAGCATATTTATCAATTTGAATATTCAGTTATTTTAGATAATTTTACTTCCTTTTATTAAGCAGAGAGAAGAAAAAGATATCGTCACTTGAAAACAAATTGCGTAAAAATGCATACATCTACCCTCGATAAGCTGAGCCACTTATTGGAAGGCAATGAAATTAAACATAGTTGCCATCAAACGCCGGAAAGAAAATTATAATGCGTTAAAAATAAACCATCATACGAAGGAACATTTTATATCTTGGATAAGATACGACTCAGCAGATGTTGGATGAGGAAAATTTAAAAGGTTAGAGCGACAAGTTCCTGATTAACCAAAAGTTGGACAAGCCTCAAATAATATTTTCGACCGTTTCTCTTCAAATTGTAAAAGCGCTTCTATCATCAACGTATTAATTGGTATCTTATGAAATAGGCGTAAAAGGAAGATGTGGCGCTGAAAAGCGATTTTTTTTTTTTTTTGTGCGAGGAAGTGCTCTGCGTGGAAGAAAATCATAAACGATTGGACCAGCTGTGTTTCTCCCAAAGTTTTATTGGATATTACGACTCAGTTTCCCCTTTCATTGCCTGATGGTGAGACTTCCACAGCTCAAAAATCGACATCCTAAAAGGAAGCGCGTTTGTAACCTCCATTTTTTCTTTTCCTTATATGTTAGTGTGAAAAATGTATATATCTTCTTCTTCTTTTTACATCCATTTTACTTTGCTGCATGAACAATATTTGTTATTTGGACATATCGCTGCTGCCGGAGTTGTTTTTGTTGTTGTTGTTTTTTGTCATTAGCTCGTCCCGAAATCGATTTGATCGCTGTTATTATTACGGTACTCCTGATGTATAAGATGCTTTCGCCGTGTTAGTGTACGAGAAAAAGTACCTTATAACTATGCATTATGGGTAGAATAAAGATAGTGTGTGCTGAAACTGGCCATGTGCATTCTCTGCACTCTTACTTTAACCCCAAATAATTCGTCATGGTGGCAATGGGAGGTTATCAGTGACGTTAAAACGAAACGTACTAGAAAAAAAAATCTAAAAATGTCATCTCCACCAGTCGTTCGTCCCAGATCAAATGAAATCTATTTCATTACAAGCTTCATATTAAGCCTGCAACAGTTTGATAAACAGTGGGTGTTTTCTATTATTTCCCGCTAAAGATTCGATTGTCTCTTCGAAAAATTACTTTTATCTTAACAGAAGGACGAAATAAAGTCTCTGAATCGCTCTAACGCAAGTTCTTCCGAATCTAAAAGAAAAAAAAAATGCACAATTTTAGGATTACATTTTCCTACCAGCTTTTTATGATAATGCTGTCCCTGGACTGGAACTGATCGTCAATACAATTTTTTGAATGCTTAAACACTTGATGCTGGGTGATCAGGGATTCAGTGAGTTCTGAGAGGAGCTCCCGATCACTAACAGTGACGCAGTGTTTCAGAGCTGATAAACGTATTGTGTGATGCGTTGACGTGAGCAGGGTTATATTGCACTCTTATAGACAACGGCAAATTGGCCAATCAGATTGCGACATTACTAATAATTGTGGTAAAGAATAAATATGATAATGACATCGGTAAAAGTGAGATTTATTACATTACATTAATAAGAGGACATAAACAGTGATGATTCATAGAGAGAGAAATTTTCATGTAGTGATAATGTTTTCTACTAAGGCAGCTGATCCGCAAATTAGCATATTGTTCTTTCTATTGATCCCAAAACTCACGACCCCATTATTTTTTATAAAAGCCAATCAAGTGGTGACAAAGAAAATAATTAGTTCAGCGTCCTTAGACTGTTTTAACCGAAAGTTGACAAAATATGGTTCCTTTATAAACTCTTGAAATTTTAGCATTTCGAACAGTTAAACGGAAAGAGGGGGCACAACAATGCAAAAGCAACAATTCAGAATCGAAATAAAATGGATGATGACCATCAGCTAAGATTTGTTATACGCGGCACATCATTAACAATTCAACAAATAAACGATACAACGATGAAGCTTGTTTGGTGATCCGAACGATACCGGAACAAAAAAAAAAAGTCATAAGACCTTCTCAATTTGTCCCTCTACCAATAAATCGATTCTTTCCAAGAAAATTGCAGAGTCACAAAACACGAAACTTCCTCTTTGTCCCTTATCTCTTCATCAGAATATGCAAACTAAAATCTATTGTTGAATTCATTTGCGATAATCTTGTCATAAAGAAAAACATCCGGTTTCGACGTCGACACAACTCGAACCGGTTCTGGTGGCAGTGGGAGCTGGGTTAGCAGTAGCGTTAGAAACGAAAAAATTTCTTGAAAAAAAATCATGAAAAGATGTTCACTCCTGCTCCGGACGAGGCCAATAGATCAGCTGAAAAAAAGCACAAGCAGTTCAGTTGAACTGAAATCGCCCCACACACTGAAGAGCCAGGCGCAGCATTGCCTGCACAACCAGTCGTTCGGTCCCAAGTCAAATGAAATTTATCTCATTACAAGTGTCTGGGTGGTTTGGTCACATTTAATGGAAATGTCGTATAGTGCCTTATCGTAAGAACTAGACTGCTGAGCTCTGTATCAACCGTGGAAATCGCTACTATTGCGGATTGGGAGTGCATGTGAAACTAAATAGCTGTTCGGTTGAGATAGCAATTGCCAGATGGCACTTAATTAAAGATGAACCTCCACATTTTTAAGAACTCTCTCGATCCCAGGAGTCCTAAAAATAAGATGTTTCTAAATAATTCCTAAACACAAGTTTTTCAAACAAATAATTGTGTATAATTCAACACTCTTTGGCCCGATTGTATAAAAGTGGTCTGTGTTACCCAAAACTTCTTTAACCAACTCATGGACAGCGTTAACTTTTCCTCTTTGCAATAATTAGAATTCTTGTGGTAAAATCATGTTCCCTAGCTTGCTAAAAAACAGCGATAGCCATCGATCTTCCTAAAAAATAAGCATACAGTCTTATGCTCTCGTCTATTGGTAGCCTTTTTTAACGGATTTTTGCAGAGAAGTGTGGCAAACTGAATGAATTCCCCCAGGATTGAAAATGTCTTATGAATATATATATTTATGAAATCATTGGGACTACCCATGCGAGCAAAGTGTGGGGGAGTTCGTCGCCCACACGTATACTCCATCCGAACTTATGTTTGCTTATGACGTGGGATGCGTGTGGTGGACTACTTGAAAATTCGTCGTAGTCAGAGATAAAATTAGCCTCGTGTTTGCTTCTCACAGAAACTAAGCCCCATTGGCAGGGGTCCCTACTTGGATAAGTGACCGTACGTTATTATATCCTAGCTTTTGTAATCGTTACGGTGACCAATTTACCATTTCAACTTTGTTGATATATCCAAATTATATCCTTACTCCCACCGACGTAGCCCCAAACAGTTTCTTTCGAAACTATCAGCCTTTATTCATTTATAATATCCTAAGTTGTTGACGATCTTTAAGTTTTCTTGTCTTTATTTTTAGATTTCATCCTTGTACTTGAAGAGTAGGCATCAAATTTATTATTTTCCACATGCAACAAGAGAGACTGTAGACAAGGACCAAAGCATTCCACATTAACGCTTCCTGGCGTCTTGTTATAAAAAGATGAATGTACTTATCAACGCTAATTGCGTTCTTAAGATGCTTGAGCAAAGGTTGCGATATTCTTTTCAAATCAACGTCGTCAAAACGAACTTTCTCGAGTTCCATATCAGTGCCCTCGCGAGATCAGTTCAAATCTGTTACACATTACTCAACTTGCTTTATCAACAAGCTAATTCTAATTAATTTGATCAGACAAATAATCTTAAATAGATTCGTTTCAATAATGTGGATGAATCTCTCATAAACAAACCTTTGCAAAAGAGATGAGCCGTCACATGTCTCCTACGAAACCCAAAACGATTACGTAGGAAAATTCGTTCTGAACCAGATCATCAAGAAATTATATTCGCATTAATGGGAGCTCGGTCTTGCATCCGAAGTAACTAGCCTTTTTCACACCTACCAATAAAGACAATAAATGATAAAAATATCGTTGTCAATCAGTCTGTGATAAAGGACAATTGAGTCCGTCAGTGAGAAACCAAGTCTTGTATCTTAAATAACTCACTCTCCTTTAATAATGGCGAGATTTCTGGAGTATTAGGCGCCCATTTTACAAATTTGTCCTTCTCAGCATTTTATGCAGGCCGTGGGTCTCCCTTTAAAGGAAAGGGTTTTATTATGAAAAGAGTACGTTCACATAATACCTAAGAGCAAGGTTTATTTTTTTAGCTTCCCGCGCACAATAAGGAATTTTCGCTTTTGATGGAGGACTATTCTTGATCCCTGTTTTTTCATGCCTGGGGTGAAAGGTTGCTTATTGATACATAATTACAGAGATAGGATCGATTCAGAGTATTTCAGTAAGTTATGGCATTCTATTGATCCTCAAGAGTAGGTGTCGTTGGTATTCAAGATTTCCCAACACCAACGTAATGAGGATAATCAAATTTGAGGAAAGCATGTGACCAGTCTACATATGTCGCTCCTGACCGAGTCTAGAAAGAAACTGATAGGATATCTCACCTAACAGCAAGTCCCAAATTTTAATGGAAACCATTCCATTTGTACTTAATAAGCAAGACAGAAGCATTGAGTTAGGATCTGTGTAATAGATGCTTGTAAACCAAGCTGACGGTTTAATTACCTTCTTTCATCATAGCAATACTTGATAAAACAACAGAAATTCTCTGGAACTTTCCGCTCTTACGTTTCAAAAAATTTATGTTTCGCAGGTTGGTTCATAAAACTAATACTCCAAAGAAGTTGCAACAGTACTTGCCCGAAGCTCAAAGGACAGTCAAGGTAAGTGCTTGGCTCGCACGCGGCAAATGTTTAAAAATCCAACTTTACAC